ACTTACTATTTAGCATCAATAAATCCCGTTTTCGACGGGCTTTCATCTGGTATAAAATTCATTACTTACCCTATTCGCAATTATAGCGTTACCCCCCTGGAAAAACATTTTTACGCACCCTGTACTTGCAATCCTGAATAATTTGAAGATTTTGCGGTCTGGTGTTCTCAATAAGGTCGAAGTAATTTTGTCCATATTTTTTTAAAATTCCAGTTTTACTTTCCAATATAAAGATAGGTTGTTATTAAATATGCGAGAAGAGAATATTTTTCATCTTACCAAAAAACTCATTCTTTCTATCTTATAATAAATATTTATCAAATATAGAACTTCCTATGTGTATCATGTAACACTACCAATAGTATATAAAAGCTATATGGAGCAAGTTGTAATTTTGAGCGCTTGAGGAAAGTCAGAATAGCAAACGTGTTTCCAACCTTATCCAAAACTTTCAGCCGTACTCATACTCCTAGCTTGAGAGAGCAAACAAAGTTGCTTGTAATAGTAGTAGTTTTCCGTTTGACTTTTCTTTTTTTCGTTTTTTTTGTTGTGTGTGCATTTTATCATTAAACGTAAGACTCACATGTACTTTTCTTAATCAATGGAAGAAAAGCGCTTAGATGAACTGCACCTTTCTTTAATATACATTAAGTTTGTCGCACTTTTTGCTCTCTTAAATGGTGTTGTTGTGCTTTGTATTTACATTCACTGGAATAGGCGCACACGTCGGTCCGCACAGTTTTTGTTGTTGTTTTTTTGTTACAGCCGGTATGTCGTAAAGTTTTTTATTCCGGGATTTTATAATTGAATTAAATAAAAGAGACGAAAATGTTTTAATTAACTCTAAACCGCTTTTTTATTTTTTTTAACCAAAAGCATGATACGAATCCAATTATTAGCCTGATCAAATAAAACGTATTTTTATCGTTGACGGACCTGTTATATCGAATGTTTTAGATATAACGTTTTATGATGTTATCCTCCCATTCAGATCGTGCAGCGATTCAACAAGGTATTCATTAACTTTGTATTTCGATATTTACTAAGCAGGATAGTTGTAATTCCATTCCATTTCACTACGAAAAGTAAGAGAACATCACACTATGACCTCCATTACAGAGGAATAGAGAATTAAAAACAACCAAACAGCTAAATGGAAGACAAAGCAAACTAAAGTAAACTACTATGCATTTCAAAATAGAATAGAGCCCGCTATATTTCGAATAGCTTTTGAACGGGAAAAATGATCCACTAATATAGTTCTCCAAAAATTAAAGTGACAATGTAGTGTTTTTTTTTACATGGGTAGATAGCTCACAGTGTCTTCTTCACAATGGAAATCAACCGAGGCTTTGATCCTCACTAGTACGAGCGTGATATCGAATTTTCCTGGCGTCCCAGGACTGATACCTGGTAACTTGACGTATCCTTGAAATCATGTGGAACATACGCAATCGATTACACTGAATCTAGTGGCAATGTTTGTTTTGGAAAAGCATCAGAACTCTCATGACAATTGAGTTTTATGAAAATTAGTGTTTTCAAATTATTTTCATCTAATATTAGAAAATTCATAATTCACTCAAAAAACATCCGAATCATGATTATATATATCCCGTTATCATCACGTTCAGCGAACAAAATTAACCATATCCTGTAGTTTTTAGCTGGTTCGGATGTTTTTTGAGTGAATTATGATTTTTTTTAATATTAGATGAAAATAATTTGAAAACACTAATTTTCATAAAACTCAATTGTCATGAGAGTTCTGATGCTTTTCCAAAACAAACATTGAAAAAAAACCACTACATTGTCACTTTAATTTTTGGAGAACTATATTAGTGGATCATTTTTCGTTCAAAAGCTATTCGAAATATAGCGGGCTCTATTCTATTTTGAAATGTATAGTAATAGAAAAGACAAAATAAAACAAGACAAGGAATTAAATGGAGAGTAAAATAAGAGACACATAAGCACGGCTAACGTTTCGAAAATATAAAATTGAAACATACTGTTTTGAACAACAAATAAACGGTTTTGAGGATTTGTTCAAGTCGTTGGTTGCAGATTAGAGGAAGAGGCTGTTTAAGAAAAACCGTTTACAAGAAAAGACGTATGAATATATTGGGAATGATGACAACATAAAGTAGAATGATCTGAATAATAAAGCGAAACAGAAGATTAAGGTGTTAATCATAAATTTTAGGAATATTTACTAGTCTAGAATATTTGCAACAAAGAGAAGAGAAAAGAGAGAAACTAGAAACAGAAGAGTCAAATTTACAAGAAATTTACAAGAACAGAATAAAGAACATCAAGAGAGAATGAAGTATTATACAATAGAAGACAATAATTAAATTTTGGAAGAATATAAGAAAATTTTAACGCGAATGTAAAAGCTAAATCAATCAGGAAAAGCTAAATCAAACACACGACCTAAGGCTTTCAGTTTTCGTCAGTAAGAAAAGGTCGCATCCTTAGTACGATCATTCCATCTACAATCGTGCGATACAAGAATATCAAAACAATGAACAGGAGATGCAACTAAAAGAGGATCATTCAGATACAATTACTTTGTGTCTATTTTTCTCCGTGTCGTTTTATGCTCTCTGTTTATTCAAAAATCGAAAAATATCGAACAAACATGGAGTTCGAAGTTGGTATAATAATAGGTAACTTGGAATATTAGGGACGAGTTAATTATATTTTTGTTCAGAGATCACTATTCCACATTTAAACCAAATTAAAACTACTGAAACAAAATGAACAACAAACGTAGCCTTATGAATGAACTGTGTACTTTTGTATTCTAGCTGCATTAGAAGAAGACGATTCATCACAAAGCCTAGCAAATGTATGTAATCCTTCTCCTTTTCTTTTCTATTCATTTTTGACCATAATTGACATTATAATTTAGAATGAGGCAATTTGTGATTTATATTCCACGTACAGATCACCACCTATGTGTTTCCACCATTCAAACTATAGTGATACATTAAAAAAAAATATCGTCTCAGTTTTACAACAGGTATGACATGAAGAATAAAGTTCTTAAATTTTGCTTATTTTTATATTTATATATTTTTCATTTTTTAGCGTCAAAATGGACTTGTTAATCTTAACCGATGTTCAAATACACGATTTGAACTATGTGATAGGTATACTACACAGAATCACGGCTCTTTACACATATTTTGATTGTAATTATGAACAATTTTAATGTTACTGTTTTTTTCTGCTTTATATATTACTTCCAAATACCGGTGAAGTTGTGGAGTCTACAGAAAGTCACACATTTTGTGGACAGTTTACGGATGATGGAGCGAAATTTGTTAATGCATGTCAAGGTAAGGAAAGAGTTTAAACGAGTGAAAGTAATTTCTCTTTTTTTAAGATCATTGCATCCGACTGTATAATACGTGTGATTCAAAAACGTTTACTAAAATGAAAGAAGTTGAAGTGAATGACGTGGGATGGTCTATAATTGATACGGCTTTTAGTCCATTGGGTGATTATGTAGCATATTCATGTTGGACACCATATATTTATCTTGTTAAACTCAACGACGACACAGAACATTATCCATTAATTAGACCTTTAAAATTAGATTTAATGGGTTATAGTCACTTTTGTCTTTTTTCTTTACAATTTTCTAAAGATTCATCTGAAATTGTTGGCGGGTACTAAGATGAAGTAGCAATTTTAGCTGATGTTATACTAACGAGAATTTTTCATGTTGAATTTTAGTGGCAAGGATGCTTGTGTTTATGTCTATGATTTAGAAAAACAAAAACGAACATTAAGGGTTTGTGTTTTTTTGTTTTATAGAAGAAAAACTAGATATATAAAATCTCACGTTTGAAGGTTAAGGCACATGATGCTGATGTGAATGCTGTTCGGTTTGCTGATGCATCTTCAACAATTTTGTTTTCTGGAAGTGATGATGGGTTGATATCGATTTGGGATCGAAGAGCATTAAAAGTAGGAATGATAATACATTTTGATATAACACATAAATCAATGAAATATTTTGTTAATAGGAATCATCTCCAAAACCTGTTGGAAATTTTGCCGGACATTCTCATGGCATTACATTTATCGATAGTCGAGTAAGAGATTTATTTTGTTGGCATAATTGATGGAGAACATAGACATTTTGTTCTATTTAAGGGTGATACCAGATACATGATATCGAATAGTAAAGATCAATCAATAAAATTATGGGACATGAGAAGATTTGCTAATAATGAGGCTACAGAGGTAACTGCATCGAACTACTGTAGTAAAAATCTTAGACACTTCTTAAAATTATCTACTAAGATCTTATCCATTAAGATTTTGATAAGATTTAATGACTCTACTTTCGTTCACCCCTTTGTTTTGCTTTCATTCACCCCTTTGTTTTGCTTTCATTCATCTATATAAGTAACACCGAAAATATGAGTGATTTTATGGTTATTTTCTTCCAGACTCTGCTAGTATTTGCTCTCTCAAAGTGTTCAACAACTTTTTAGAGAGTTTACATGCGGGTCAAGGTCCATAGTTGGACAACCGAAAATATGAAATTTCTCTTCATTTTTTAACACTGTTCAGCTGATGTTTTGGATAATGTGGATTAAAAACTGAAAAATTTTCAGCGTATCTCTAATGAATATTATTTAAAAAACGTCGTCGTTCTTACTATTAAGATTCTAACAGATTCTTATCCAATCTTGGAAAAATCTTAGACAGTATAATCTTATTAAGATCTTAGTCAGATTTCGCTTATATTTGCCTAAGATCTTAGAAAAATCTTATAAAATCTTAGAATTTTCGGGTCTCACGATTTTAGTAAGATTTGTTTAAGATCTTAGATAAATATAAGCGATATCTTACTAAGATCTTAGTAAGATCCGAGTAAGTTTTTCACTAGGGCAGCTAGTGATTCTATGAGTGACTTTAACTTAGTTCTGGTTAGACAAATTGGTTTAACGAAATGAATAAATTTCAGTTTTAACTTTTTACAGTGTATTTGACAGAGTTTTACGACTAGTTCTAGATAATGATCTGTCTTTGAACTATAACTAGTAAAAGTATATTAGTAAACATGGATATTTTAAGAGCGTTACGTATAGCATTAGCAAGATGAAGGCAACAACATATATCATATGCACTTGCTATTATGCAGTGTGATTTAGTTGTGAGTAATAAGTAATAATAATAATTTGAGTATTTACACGCATTGTATCTCTAATATTTTTATACAAAATCGCTCTTAACCCTCAATTTTTTTGCGTTTTAGTGGTTAATCTATGCCTATTTAAATTGACTTCATTTAACACTTCGCTTAACACACTAGTAAAATTTTTCTAACATTCTGCATGCCTGCATGCCATCCTGTTTGTGGTAAAATATTTTAGTAAATTTGGATAACAATCTTAAAAGATTCTTTTTCAGTTCTGATATATAAGATGCTTCATGGAAATGTCAAGAACTCTGCAACTTCTTATGAGGTTTTCTAAGGTTTTCGTAAGGGTTGATATCACAATCTTATAAGTTTGTTATCTGAATCTTCTCAGTTTCATACCTGTCTTTCGAGTAATTCTTACTCAGAAATAACCTCTTTTTCTTCATTTTGTGTCGTTTTTAAAATAAATGCGATGTATGTGGCCATTTCAAATATCTGGATTTGAATTAAGTATTCCTCTTTCTCTTCTAAAGGACGGACTTCTTTAGTGTTAATGATTTTCCTGATTCTCAGTATATTTTAAAAATAAAATGTAATGCACGTAAATATATTGTTCATGTTTTTTTTGATAGAAGTACACTTTGAGCATCTAACTATCTCTTTCCATTTTATTTACTACTGTGCACCATCATTAAAGTATACTTAGAGAAAAAGTTCTCATTTATTTTTTATTCTTTGAATATATATTAGCTATCTACTTCTTTCAGGCAGGAAAAAATATATCTAGGCAGATGGCACATAGGTGGGATTATCGAACCGATGTTCGTCAGTTAAAAGACTGTAAGTAGCATAAGTAGCAAAGATGAAGATGAACATAATGTTTTTGTATGTATTTTTGATAGCTTCACAAAGTTCGGTTCCGGGCGACTGTAGCGTCAAAACATACAGAAGCCATTCAGTCATGTTTACATTAATACGATGTTACTTTTCTGCAAAGGTAATAATAATACATCCATTTAGTTAGTTTTCTTAAATTTTTTTAAACTTTTCTTAGTTCTCTACTGGACAAAAATACATAATCGCTGGTAGTGCAGATGGTTGTGTTTACAGTAAGTGTTTTCCTTCCTTCTGTCATTCGATATTAATCTATTTCATTTCATTACAGTTTATGATATTCTAACTGGCAAAGTGGAGTGTCGACTGAAAGTAAATGATGATCGTCGTTATCGGGGTAGAGATGAAAATATTATACGTGATGTAGCATGGCATCCGTATGAAAATTATATCGTTTCCACTTCATGGTCAAATAGTCGTGCTCACATCAGATGGAGTCATTCAAATGATCATGATACATCAGATTCTGAAACATTATCAAGGGATGTACGTCTCGTATCTGTTCAATCAGAATCGCGTTCATCAATGGGACGTTCTTCGATATCCGCTATAAGAGACTATTTATTGAGAGCAATTTCATTTGGAGCTTATGATGACGAAGAGGAAGATGATGACGAAGAATTTGAGGAAGACGCTGAACAAGAGTAATTATTTAATTTTTTATACAACTTACTTTTTATTTCATAATTTGGCGCCATCGTTTCAATAATTTAGTGCATTTTCTCGTATTTAGTGAAAGACATATTTTTTTAGAACATTCAGTGTCTATTGTTCGTTTTATACACGTTTTTCAAGCTTTTTACGTGTGCATAAACACTGTAAATATGTAAATAGCACGATTATACTTGGTATAACAATTAGAGATGTAAAATTTTGTTCAGGTAATTATATATTGACAAATTTTCGAGTTATTTTTTTGATAAAAAAAGAGTTGAATGCAAAGACAGAGCATTGACACCAGTGAATTAGTCTTTTGTATAATAATTCAACTTTTTCTTAAACATGTTGCTGGGATCTGACAAAACCCGATATTGAATTCACGTCTACTTATCAACGTATAAATATCAGCTTTCTTTTCCCTTTTAATTTCAAAACTCATGTTAACAATTTACTGGATTTGAACGAGGCAGTTGAAGTGTTAGTGCAATTTACCACTATCCTGAGAAATAACGTTTTGAACTCGTTGCAGTGCATCGATGATAGAATAGTCAGAAAATTTATTTCCGACAAAGATTGCCTACAGATAAATGAGTCAAAAGATCAACTACTCGCCGTACTATGGATACTGTAATTGTAAGTAATGAGGAAAACCGTTGAACTGAAGAACACATTGAATCTAGTTTTCAAGAAATGATGCACAGATCTTTGAGAATCATCTATTAATTGTTTTTCAGACCATTTGTTAGAGATACATACTTTATTCATATGAAGTAGAACTGACTTTCAAAAAAAAAAAACGCAGTTTTTGGGAGCGGAAAATCGAACAAAAAAATTAGAAAAAAATGATGTTTCATATTTTGTTTATTACTGATTAACTACAACCTGAACCAACGTGAATTATTCATAACATTAAATGCAAGTTTTTTTGTTCTATTTGAATACGACCTTTTTAAAACAAAAAACTAGCCCTGTCTTGTTTTTTAAAAATCGTAAATTACAAAAATGTCAAAAAATTAATATGTAATTTTGATGGTCTCTTTTGATGAAAAACGGTTGTGTGCGGTGACTTTAACGGTAAGAATATATGTAGTCGGATGTTCACAATTAGATTCGGTGAAATAATTTACAGATGTATTTTTATAACTATATCATCATCATCAGACAATTGCAAGGCCGTCATAGCGTGTGCAGTCGATCACTAGCTTTCTCCACTTTTCGCGATTTTGCGCAGTCTTCTCTATCTCAGCTTCTGTCATCAAATGTGTGCTGCATATCAGTTGGGCGATACTTTTAACGAAGCTCAGTTTTGGTCGCCCTAGCTTTGGTTTTCCTAGCTGTTGACTTGGTTAGTACAGAGTGTATTTTCGAATTGGCTCTTCTTTGTCGCGTCTGAGCATGTGACCAACCCATGTTGGTCATATTATAACTATAATATGTGTATATATTTCTTTTGCTAAAAAATGATATACTAAAAAATCTATCAGGTTGATGTATAGAATTAGTGTTCGAGAGGGATATATAGGAATAACAAAAGCGAAGTAGTTGTAACTATTGAATGAATTTCCAATATAGTATGTATTTGTAACTACAATAACTAAACAGCGACAAGGTGTGTTTGGCTTCAAAATAGAAATCTGGATAGATTGTTTGTTATTAAGTATAAAGAAAGTAATCAGACGCTTAATTTTTCCATCATTATACGGATTTCTTTTTGATTAATAAATATACGAATCAAAAGTTTGAACAATCATGGGAACTCTGATAATAAATTCAAATTACAAAGTCCTCTTTTTTTTGCTGTACTAAGATATAATTACATGTTCTAGTCAGTTTTACAGAGCTAAACAAAAGAACAAATCAGCATTATCAATACTATAGGATAATATTTATCACTTTTTCATCACAAAGAAACGTTCTAATATTTTGAACTTAACACATATTTACAGAAACTTTAAGAAAAATACTATAAAAGTACATAATCAATTCAAAAATATCAAATAGCTAAGTAAGTGGAAAAGGTTAGTAACTGAACAACAAACCATCTGACGTATAGATTATGTCAGATAAAAGCTCATATGAAATAAAAACGCTTATTTAAAGACAAAAATTGCTAATGGAAAATATTTGAATTATTATATTGATCAAATAAATACAAATTTATCTAATTCACCGTTAGCAACAACAGCTACCAATGTAATTGATGAAATTTCTGCACATTTTCGACTTGTTAGAGAAACATTAGACAAAAATCGGGAAAGTCGATGTTTGATCGGGTGAGATTTATACCAGAGATAGAACATCGAAAAAGAAAATCTATGTATTTTTGCCCAGAATTTTCTGACATGTCCTTCTATGGGTTTTCTAGAAAACTCTAGTTTTCATCCAACCACATTACGACTCCTCGAAAAAATTTTGCCACAAATATTGCAGACCCTATCATAGGTTCGTTTTTTTTCTTTTCGAAAAATATGCTTTCCTTCTCGAGATATTCGAAAAATACTAAAGACTGCTGTATAAAAAAGCAATTTTTTATTTTAAAAATCTTCTCACGCAGAAAGTTGAAATCGAAAATGCTTAAAAAAAAAGAACCTTAGACAAGGTCTAAAGTATCTTTGATAAAAATTCAGCTCGATCGGAACATTTCTGTAAGGGTTCTAATGTGACTGGAATGAAGAGACTATAGAAAAAATGTACAGTGAGAAAAACACATATTGCACACAGAGCTCTGTTTTACAGGGCATTTGCGGTGATACTTATATCTCAACGAAGACTCATCGGAAAATTCTGGAGAACGTCTCATTTTGAAGGGCAAACTTTCTTCTATCAATCTATGTATCAGAAAAAATTTTGAATACACAAGAGGAGAGAAAAATTTACGAAACTAAAAGACGGAGATTTTTTTCAGGCCTGTATAACTTTTTCAAGAAAGATCGTGGAGAGCTGGGAGTGGTCTCATGTTGTAACCCAGAGTTCCCTCTACATTATGCTACGTTCAACTCAAAATGAAAAAGTTTTTGCAAGAATCGTTTTTATTTTTATATTAATTTCTCACTTTTTTTTCTTCTACAAGAGATTCTTATCTAAAATGGCAAGGCTCGTTGACGATAGAATCGTCAGAAAATTAAAGTAAAAAAATAAAATCATCAATCTATTTTATCGATTCCCGTACTACATATAATCCGACAATACTATACAGGGGTGCCCACAATAAGTCTTTTAAATCTCTTAATCGACAATCGAGTCTTTACATGTATTTGAGTCAAGATGTGGCATCGATGCCAATCTATGTTTCGAATATCTTTTTTCGATTGAACGCATCAGTATAAAATGTTCATCAACTCAAAAGAATACAATTTTTTCTGTTTAAAAGAAATAGAACAGAGTCATTACCCAAATTGCAAACAATTGCTAAAGTTTCTTCTTTATAGTTTTATTACTTGATTGCTTAAATAACTGGACTAACTCTATTTAATCTAAAAATATCGTTTGTTCGCCAAAGTGTTTTTTCTTTTTCGTGCTTCTCTTTTTTTTTTGAGAAGGTTCTTCTGTATAACCTTTCTTTCTTCACTAACACGTTCTGAATTCTATAGTCGCATTCGAACAACATATGATCTTCGCTATTATTTTGTTTTGCTTTATTGCCAATATTTCTCCGTCATAATCTATACAGCTGACTAACAGGAAAATTCACAAGAAAAATGTCTTCTTTCTTTTTCACAATATATGCTAGCCAATAGTAAATTCGACTAAATGTCTGTTTAAAACAAATATATAGAGAAAAACAAGAACTTCACACGTTGATTTATGAACTTTAGTGCTTGTATATAGCTTCATTTTTCATCGTGTCCTCTCGTCATTCGTATCGATTAGACCTTCATTTTAACATCATAACGTTTACGTAAAAAGTTTCTATTTGTTGGAAAAATTTCAGTTAAAACAAAATGAGTAGTAAACTGATCGATAGTCCACGAAAACGCCAATTATTATATGATATAACAAATGGGAAAAAAAGTAAATTAATAAAAAATGGCAATGAAAGTGATGAAGATCTATGGGCGCTCGATCGTGGTAAGGAGATTGTTTTTCGTTTGATTTTGTTTTTATTCTACTCTCTTGCATAGTCTCTGTTTCGACTATTGTTAAATGAAGTAATTTTTACGAAAACAGAAGAAGCAATCATGAATTGATATGAAATTAATTTTTATATGAATCAAGGGTTAGAATTGTATACGATAAAATTGTTAACTCTCTAAGCAAAAAATTTTCTTCTGTATGAACTGCTGAATAAATCATAAATTATATTTCATTAAAGATATCTGAGGATGTTTTTTGTTTTAGAGAGTTGGTCGCTAAATCCACCGGCAATTTGTTTACAAGACACTGATAATGAAGATGAAAATCTTGCATGGTCATCTGAGTGTCCCGAATTGTTTCAATCAACAAAAACAAATAAGTTAAAAATGGATAATGCATCATCATCATTAAGAGCTGTTCATTGTCATCGACATAGTAGTGCAAATACAAGTTTAAATGAATCAGCGTCAATGGATTTATTAGGATTTAGTAATAATGGTAGTGATAACGAGATGATTTCAATTATTGAAAGTACTGGTTTCACACTTGGTAAGTAAACTAAAATTATGACGTTTATTTAATACATTAAGTACCATTGATTTTTTCGTATCTATATCATCTTTTGTTTTTGTTTGTTTTCTACTTAAGAGCCCGTTGCTTCGTGTGACCGTTCATCAGGTTATCATTCATTTGATACATCATCATTTGGTCAACAACAGCGACGGCTCTCTCCGAATAGACGATCTCTATTAAATCCAACAGCAAAAGAATTTTCATTGAGCAGTATTTCTGATGCTTATTCTTCAAGTCAACATCATCAACATGGACCATCATCGACACATGTTGCACGTTATCCAACATCATACGAATACAAATTTGGTTCATTTGGACGTGGTGATAATGAATTTTTAGAACCAAATGGTATTTCATTTTTATCTGATGGTAAAATTGTTATTGTCGATACGAACTCTAGTCAAGTGAAAATATTTGATCCATCACGTCGTGAATGTGTACAAAAATTTGGCGTGCCTGGTACTCGTGCCGGTGCAATATTATACCCTTATCGTATTGCCGTTTTACCAGGTGATCAATTAGTATTAGTTCAACGTTCACCGCGACCAATGATACAAATATTTGATAAAAATGGACAATTTATACGTCGATTTGGTAATGATTTAGAATCGCCACGAGCTGTTTGCATTGATCAACAAGGCCGTATTATCGTAATCGAATCCAAAATTATGAAAGTACATATTTATGAATCAACATCAGGTAAATTGATTTATGATTTTATTGTAAATAAATGATTTCGTAACCTATAAGTTTTCTTGTGTACGAAAGAGAGTGTATTCCAGTCAGAACGAATCCTGATGAGAAAGAAATGATTAAAACTATTAGATTAGGAGATAGAATATTTTAGATAAAAGATGTTTCATATTTTTATTCTACTTTCCGATAATAACGTCTAGAAATATCTATCCTAATTGAATATTTTTCATTTTTAGGTCGTGTTTGGGGTGCATGTGATTTAAAAGAACATTTAAGTTTTCCAACAAGTGTTTGTGTTAATGATCGTCATGAATTATATGTCAGTGATAATGAATCTCATTTTGTACGTGTATTCGATTATAATGGTGTCCATTTAAAAGATATTGGCGGTGGTAACATATCGTATCCCATTGCATGCCGTATTAATCAACCACGACGTGAATTGATTGTTGTTGATAATCATGAAAATTTTAATATATCAATATATGATTACGATGGAAATAAAAAATATTCTTATTATAGTTTAATGAAACATGCACAATGTTTCGATGTGGCTGTGGGCTATAATGATGAATTAGCAATGGCATCAAAAGACTATAAAATATATGTTTATAAATTGGGTGAACATAATAATCATTATTACTATTGATCAATAATAAAAATAATATACACACGCATTCACAAATAGTATAGCTAATGCAGTATTTAAAAAATTTTTTTTTCTCGTTATTTCTCATTTATCTTTTGTACTTAAAAATAGAATTTTTTACCAATTATTTGATTTTTTGTTGGTGTGCGTTTTTTTTTTGTTGTTGTTATTAATATTTGTTTGTTCTTGTGGAAATATTTTTTTCTTAAAACCTCTTCCAGTTTGTTTGATAGTATTTAAAAATACAATCATTTGAATACGCAAGTAAATACGCCTTATTTATATGTAGCAAAATGGCAATAAAAACACGAGTGAACGAACATTTTTGTTTCTATTCTTACATTTGACACGTGGTAGTAAACAAAGTAAACAATTTTTTTCGATAAATTTTACTTATAATCTTATATATATATTATATTAAAATATAGTATACTTATATATTTCAGATCTTGTACAAAACCTTGCTTATGATCTGAAATAGATTCTGATTAATTAAGCGATTGATTAAGTTAGTTCTGATTTTTTCAAACTGATTAGCTGTAGCTGTTAGTTTTTTTATATTACTGTATTGATTTAAACATATTTATCAGAGATCAATCATCGAAGCATTGTAGATAGATCTTGATTTTTATGTGAGTAAAAGAAAACATAACAAGAGTAAAAAAGAAAATTTTTTTTCATACAACAAATAAGAAAAGAGAGTGATTACGTGGTTTATGAGGAAAAAAAAAGAGATATCGTGTGGAAAATACATGATAATCTACTGTGGTGTCAAGAATTGTAAACAAATAACGGAGATGTGTATGTGGCAGAAATGAATGTAAAATAAGTCATCCGGTATTGTCAAGTCTATTTTAAATAGAATTGACGTCACAAAGTACATTTTATTTAGGTCAGTGGTTGAACGCTTACTCAATGTTCTGTCTCTAAGTAAAAAATAGCTGGTAATGCAATGATTGCGAGAGCGAAGTAGCTGAAGGTTCTGTAGTGTAGAACGCAATTGATCGTACTTTTGATAATAAAAGAAATAATGAGACATTGTCTCGATGATCCACATGTAAACAACGAGCTCATACCAAGATTACGAATATAAAGATCATTATTTAACTGAAAAATCTATCCTTTTATATATAAATACAGGAGGAGGGAAAAGATCGTCTATTTAAAATAGAAGTCTTTTAAACCTCTTGTGACTCACATATGAAGGTAGATCTAACTCCAATTCATTCCACAGTCTTGCTATACTCGACATAAAGGTGTTCTCATAAACATTCTGTTTAAGCAATTCAACAGGTATTTTTCCTTGTATCGCGGATCTCGTATCATAACGGAGTGTAGATAAATCAACTGGAATTAGTTTTAGAAAATCAGACACTATTTTTGTTTTTCTTGTAGAAAAGCCCTCAAAACCCCGTATAAATCTTCTAAAAACCTTTTTAAGATCTTGATTTCATGTCCGATGAAATTACGATCATTTTTTACCTGCATGGATAAATTTTGATTAATTTTACTTCATTTTTTGATTTTTATTCAACTTTGACCTGTTTCCTTCTGGTTGAACTTGTACAAGAAAAACAAAACTAGTGTTTTGTAGCAAAAAAACAATATTTTAAAAATAGTTCTCTGTACTTCTTTTCCCACATGTATGACGACTCTGAAGAAGGGAAAAGACAATTTTTAACTTGTAACCAAAAAACTAGACAGACTTGCAAGATGTACGGGTAGAGTTTCCCCAGTTCCACTGGTCTTCGACGATTTTAAAAGTTAGTTTAAGTTCTATAGTTGTCAAAAATGCTTTTCTATACCCAGTTTTGGATGAACAATTAGAAAAAAATACTTTTGGATTTTTGAAATAGCAATAAATATGAAAGTTTTGCTTATTTTTCGAAAAGTTGCTGATTTTTGCCCTGTTTCAAAAAATCAATATTTTTAAATTTTTGACCGAAAAATGACTTTCAAAAGTCCGAAACTGGATTTTGTTCTAGGTAAATTGATGAGCTTTATTCAACCATGCAAAAAAATTGGAAAAATATTCTGCTATATATTTGCATTATTGGCATCTTGTATGAATATGTCACTGACACACAAGTTAAGGGTACCCCCCCCTCTTTTTTGACCCTCTTGAAAACCGGGGACGCCGATGTCGGATCGGGGTGAAATTTATAACAGAGATAGAACATCGAAAAAGAAAATCGATGTATTTTTGCATAGAATT